TTGAAGATGTGTCTGAAGGTTGAAGTATGTTTAAAAGGTGACATTAATGTTAGGGTTATGTTATGAGAGAGAAGAGTGAAATATGTTAGGATTTTATTTTGAGAGAAACAATTGTTATGTACTGAACGATAGATACTTTCGCTTACATACTAAAAAGTATCGCTTTTTATCATGGTTAGAAAGAAAAGTCGTGATGCAATTTTCAAATTTTTCAACGGTTGTATTGTAAAACCGTGGTTGAATAACTTGGTTAAATAACTTTCAAATTTTATAATGACTGGTTTACTTCACCGTTGTAAAATCATTTACAATTTATTTTTTAAATAATAGACTTAAGTGACAAACGCTTAATGCACTATAAAAAATGAAAAAAAATGTAGTTGCTGAAAATCGAAACTTGCTACACATTATTTATTACTACGGTGTTTTAAGACAACCATCATTAAATTATTGTTTATAAATCCAGCTACTCACTAGGGGCGAAAATTTTAACCTATTACAACAGTGTATATGAACCTGTTGTAAACATGAGTTGTTATTTGCGCATTTTTTAGTAGTGCCCCCTCAAGTGCGAGTCTATTCACAATGCTCTCCCTCAAGTGGAAGCTCTTTCATCCACATACACTTGTACCACCGTTGACACTTTTCAACAGACCACCTCCTACTCAGTAGGAAATTTCATACAAGTAAGTCGGTTGCTTCACTCGAATCAAAGGTTCATGATACCACTGTTAGGGTCAATTCGGGAGGTCAACACGAAGAGCATTTTACACTTTAAGGCTTTTTTAAGAGCAATACACGTTTGTGAGATACACACCACATACTCACCAAAAACTTTAAAGTGATAGGTGTGTAACTTCCTCACACTACTCACACTTGTAATTCTTTTTCAATAGAGAATAGATCAAGTGATTTAGGTCAAACAAAAATAAATCTCTCACGTGTTCTTTCTATTCTTTATTTTTTTTATTTCTCTTATTTATTTTTTATGTTACTTATTTTTCTTTCTCTTTTTTTCTCTATTATTCAACTGTTTTTTTAATCTTTATCTATTTACCTCTTCTAACCTAAATAATTTTAAATCAAATATTACAATTCATTTCTCTTGAGTTTGGAGACTTTGTAAACAAACTTTACATTTTTTCAATTCACATGGATAGACGTTAAAGAGTGGAAGAAACAAACATTAAGACAAGAATTCATTTCACCATAGAACAAGTGATGGATGAAAAGATTGATGTTACATATTATCCTACCGAGTTGCAACTATATGATAGATTTACAAAGGCTACGAAGATCGATAAATATGTGTTCTTAAATGAAAATTAGGAGTAGCATCTTTTTAAATTTATGGATTAAAGAGATGTATTGAGAATTAATCCATTAACTCAATTTGATAGTTAATAAATTTTGGTTAATTAAGTTTATGATACTTAGTTGACAATTTATTAACTTTAAGTAAATTGTAATGATCAACTTTCATTCTCTTAATGAAATGCACATTATAAGAGTAACATTCCCCTTGAAAATGAGAGTTTAAGAATGAAATAAAAATCCCATAGTTCGTTTTCTCATTAATCTAGTTTGTGACGATAATGTGAAAGCTTATCCAACTCTAGCTTTATTTGTAATGACCCTTATTTTCTCCTTTGAAAAATCAAATATACAAATGAGGCCCTTATTTTCTCCTTTGAAAAATCAAATATACAAATGAGGATCGGAATTCTACTTTGAATTTTAGCAACTCTGTTCCCATTAAAATAGACACACCTCACACTTCCGTTGTCAAATTGAAAACACATTTTATTTAAGATTTCATTTTTTTAATCAAAATTTTAATATTTAAATATTATATTTTAAAATATTTTTTTTAGTATTATTTTAATTGGATACATTTGTATTACCTTACTCTGATCCAGCCCAAGAAATAGTTTTAATATTTATGCAATAAATTTTCTATCTAAAACTATTTTAAGTGAGTTAATCAATAGAACTATTTTTGAGTGCGTGTAAGGTAGATTATTGTATAATATAATTAAATAGTGTCTCATAAAATATTTGTCAGATTAAATCGTGTTTAAATAAAAAATTTATTTATTTTGTCATGGTTAAATTATGACTAACCTATACAAGATCTTCAAAAATTTGAGACGACTTTGTTCGTGAACTCTAATATTGTATTTTCAACAAATGAACCACAATTGTGGCCTATAGTTGACCATATATCAATTTATCCTCATGTTATGAGACGAGCAATTGGTCGTCCAAAGAAGCTGAAAAACAATGCAAATGATGAGCCAAAGAACCCTCATGTGCTTTCAAGGAGACTTGAAACAAATACTTATAAGAAATATAGAGAAATAAGTCATAATAAAAGAAGTTGTAAGGGTAAAAGAATAGCTGAAAGAGCAATATCAAATGAAGGAAGCAATGTAAAGAAGGCAAAGACGGTGAGGGTGGTAAAGGAAAGAAAAAGACAAGTGAGAACTAGGAATTGGACAAGAATATCAAGCACCTCAAGCTACTCAAGATTAGATGCAGTACTATTTTGTAACGTCTAGTGGTCTATTTTATGTTAGGTCTATTTTGTAATGCCTAGTACTCTATTACAAACCATGCAATTTGATGTAATATTGTCTGGTATGAATCAATAGGATCTGCTATGAACCATGATCTTTTGATGTAATATGGTCTGTTATGAACCATGATCTTTTGATGTAATATGATATGTTATGAACAAGTTGTAATATGGTCATCAAATGGTATGAACCAGTTGTAATATGGACTGTTATGATCCTTTGATGTAATACTAACTAGTTTTATGCAAATCTATTGGTTTTATGGTATGGTAATTTCATTATAGTAATGTCCTTATGCAAATCAGTTGATTTTGATGTAATATCAAATGTTATGATCTTTATAGTGATGTTATGGTAATTTCATCTCATAATCAAGTTATGTTTTATGTAAATCAGCAAGTTATGGAATGTATAATTATGTCATGGTAATTTTATTATAAAATTAAGACAATTAATGATCTATTTTATGTAAATCAACAAGTTATGGTATCAAATGCTACAGGTTGATACATAATATTGTAATTTCATTTCATTATCAAGTCAAGTTACACAATATTATATCTTTTAACAAAGAATTGTTACAACACATAACCTAAACAAACATGTTGAATCTTTCAAATTAAGCCAACAATGTTACAAAATAGAATATAAACATACAACCTCAATTCAACTAAGAATCTTTTTCATTATTATTGAAGCAACTAATGCAATTAACACAAAGATGGTAATCATCCAGTTGAGCTTCAAATGCTTCTTCAATAATTTCATCTTCATCTTCATTTCTTTATTTTCATGTTGGCATCTTTAATCTTTTGCTTCTTATCATTCAAATTCTACAGTAATGAGGAAATAACTTTATTTTTTCTTGAAGTCATTTCTTCATCCAACCAAACAAAGTGACTACACTTCTTATAACCTTATACCTGAAGAAATCAATAGAGTAGAAGGAAGATACATCACTGATGATATAACATAAAAGAGAAGAACATCAAAAGTAACATAAACGAAATTGTACCTTATACATCCCACAATCATAGAAACGACGTCCTGAGTTCACATCAGTCCATGCTATCATCAATGGAGCATCCATGCCACAATGACATTCATACCTTAATGAACGATTTGTGTAGCTAATTTTTAAAACTGATTTTTGAGACATTTTAAAGGAGAAAGATGACTTAGCAAGGAAACTAGGGTTCATATATTGAAAATGAATGGTTGAAAATGAGAACTGTATTTTTAGGTCACAAAATTGTGTTTTTGAGTTCTATTAAAAGCCATAATAAAAATTGGATTTAAATTAAAATTAACTTTTAATATTAAAATAAAATATTTATTAAATATGACGTTGAGGTATTGTGTATGTGTCATGTCATTAATGAAATTGTTAAATGAAAAAGACCGCAAAAATCTCAAAGAAAGGAGGGAAAAAATTGATTTTTAAAATAGAATAACTACGATTTAAAAAACTCCAAAGCAGGCAACCAAAAACACATTTAATTCCAAATTTTTTATATTTTATATTTATTTATAAAAATCAGATATTCATTGGTACTATTAGTTTTTCGGATTGAAGAATACCACCATCAATAGTTAAATTCTTTTTATTAACCCAAGATTTTAATAATATTAATAAATAAGGTTGACGTGTTAATTTTTTTTAGAATTTAATTGATATGCATTAATAGTATAAAATTATTATTCTATATTATTAACTAATTATCCTCATACTCTATCATATCATACTGTAAATTTTAAGTTAACTATATGAAATGGTAGATTAATATATTTCTATTAGATAATAAGATAAAATTACTTTACAATGTTCGTGCATACTAATTAAACTTTTTTTTTTATTAATCCAATATTTTAATAACTTTTATAAATATAAGTTATATAAAAAAATAAGTACATATATTTAATTTGAAATATATGTCCATTTTAAAATAAGGAGTAAATCATGACCTAAATTGTAGAATTTAAAGTCCAAGTCTCACTACTTTTCTCCATTTACGTGCCCTTGTATTTGACCGAAGAAAGTGGCCAAATCCAAAAACCAAAAGTTTAATTTTCGTCTTACATCGCAACATGTGAGACAAGTCAACAGTTTCACTATGATTATCATGTCCTGTTTTTCAACTGATACATCTCCATTCTATAAATAAACCAAACCCACCTTTAATATACTTCATCACAATTCATTTTTATCTTTTGGTAGGTGGATGATCCTTCCTTGAGTTGCCAACTTTAAGGTCAGAGATTCACTTTTTAATGTTTAGATTCTTGGATCTTTCTTAGATTCTAATAGTTGTTTGTTTGTTTGCAAACAAAAAGTTGTGATTTTCCTTTTCATTTAAATGTGTTTTATTTTGATATTTATTTGTTTCTTTGTTGGCCAGTGTGTACAAGTTTTGAATTGCAATGGAAGAAGATGATGGTTACTCAAAAGATGGAACTGTGGATTATCTTGGAAATCCTGCTAATAGAAAGAAAACTGGAACCTGGAAAGCCTGCCCCTTTATTTTAGGTAATTCTGGTGTTTCTACAAACTCAAACTTTAGTATCTGATACATGTGTTTGGATTGACATATTTGAGCTTATCTATTGGAAGAGTCAAAAGCAATTCTAGACGTGTATAATTGATTCTGGAGTGATTTTAAGGTGTTTGACACTTTTAAATAGAATTTATTCTACTTGGAGCTAGAATTTGTAGCTTTTAAACATGATTTTTACACTGAAATTTGTTGTTCAAATCACTTTACATAAATATATCTAAACATAAATCAATTATGCTATAAGCTCAATTATGTTAAAATCAATTCTATCAAATTCAATTCTGTCGACTATCAATTCAAACACACACAAGTGTACGTTTGCTTTTAAGGTGAAGGAAATTAATTTTAAGTTAATTGATTCTATAAAATTGATTCTGGTTATAACTGAATTGAAGGTAAAATGATCTATGTTTGAATAAATGTCTGCAAAATGAGTTAAACGGTAAATTTTAATTTAAATATAACATTTAGACCCAAAAGCTCCAAATCTTAGGTTAAAGTAGAATCAATTCTGCAAATTATAATCATTTCTACTAAAAAAACAACCAAACATATCATAATCAATTCGACACATCAAGAATCAATTCTGCGTGTTACAAACATGAAACCAAACATATTCGGAGTGTTTTCATCTTATTTCTAATAATTGTGTGATAACTCATGAAAATAATTCAACTTTGTTTCTCCTGTTATAGAAAGTTTATATTACAAATACTTATATGATAAGCGATTAATTAAGCTGTTTATTCAAATAGAGCCGGATGTAGTATCTTATGCTTATCATTTCAAGCTGAATTTATACAGGAAATGAATGTTGTGAGAGATTGGCTTATTATGGGATGAGCACAAATTTGGTTCTTTATTTTAAGGAGAGGCTGCATCAGCATAGTGCTACTGCCTCAAAGAATGTCTCTAACTGGAGTGGAACGTGTTACATCACACCATTAATTGGAGCTTTTGTGGCTGATTCTTATCTTGGAAGATACTGGACTATTGCCAGTTTTTCAATAATCTATGTTATTGTGAGTATAATCACTTAATTATATATTTGATTATTAGCTTTTCAATAATCTAAACGGTATTCGTTTTTTTATCAGGGAATGACACTATTGACGTTATCTGCGTCGGTTTCTGGTATAAAACCAACCTGTCAAGGAAAAGAAAACTGCCATGCTACTGATCTACAAAGTGTAGTGTGCTTCGTCGCGCTTTACCTTATAGCTCTTGGCACGGGTGGAATCAAGCCATGTGTTTCATCCTATGGAGCAGATCAGTTCGACGATGCTGACGAGAAGGAGAAGGAACACAAGAGTTCTTTCTTCAACTGGTTCTATTTCTCAATCAACATTGGAGCTCTCATTGCGTCTTCTTTATTGGTTTGGATTCAAGATAACGTCGGTTGGGGATGGGGATTCGGCATTCCAGCTGTTGCTATGGCGATTGCGGTTGTGAGTTTCTTTTCTGGAACTAAATTGTATAGGAATCAGAAGCCTGGAGGAAGCGCGCTCACTCGTATCATTCAGGTGATAGTTGCGTCCATAAGAAAATACCGCGTTGAAGCGCCTTCTGATAAGTCTCTTTTATATGAGATTGCTGATACAGAATCTGCTATCAAGGGAAGCCGCAAACTCGACCATACAAACGAGTTGAGGTAAAAGCAAAAACAAACAAAAAATTCGTAGATGACAAATTAGACATTAGCCCATGTTTAAAGTCGTAAAAAAGAACGATACATTATTGTCTTGTTTAATATTTTTCATCTTATTGTCTGTAACAGATTCTTCGACAAAGCAGCCGTGCTCGAACAATCGGATAACCTAAAGGACTCGATAAACCCATGGAGACTTTGCACTGTCACACAAGTGGAAGAGCTTAAGTCCATTTTAAGATTGCTTCCTGTATGGGCCACCGGCATTATATTCGCAACTGTCTATGGTCAAATGAGCACGTTATTTGTGTTACAAGGAGCTACCATGAACACTCATGTTGGCAACTCAAGCTTCAAAATCCCACCAGCATCACTCTCGATCTTCGACACCCTCAGCGTCATATTCTGGGTCCCAGTCTACGACCGAATCATCGTACCACTCGCGAGAAAGTTCACTGGCCACAAAAACGGTCTAACGCAGCTCCAAAGAATGGGAGTCGGACTCTTCATATCAATATTTTCAATGGTAGCCGCAGCGATTTTGGAGGTCATAAGGCTTAAAACTGTGAGAAAACACGATTACTACGACCTCGAGGAGATACCAATGACAATATTTTGGCAGGTTCCGCAATATTTCCTCATAGGTTGTGCAGAAGTGTTCACGTTCATCGGACAATTGGAGTTTTTCTACGAACAAGCTCCTGATGCGATGAGAAGTTTATGTTCTGCTCTTTCGCTACTCACGGTTGCGCTCGGACAGTACTTGAGTTCTCTGCTCGTGACTATTGTGACGAATATCAGTACGAAGAATGGAAAACTTGGATGGATACCAGATAATTTGAACTATGGTCACATTGATTATTTCTTTTGGTTATTGGCAGTGCTAAGTGTATTGAATTTGATAGTGTTTCTTTGGGTGGCTAGGTTGTATACTTATAAGAAAACAGTGGGAACTCTTCGCTGAAAAATGTATAATCCAAATTTACATTCAAGTTGTATTTAGATTTTAATTTGAATTTCATTTAGTAGCTCTGATAGTATATAAACGGCATAATTAGTCACGGGATCCCTGAATTAAAAAACGTTATTTAATGATCCTTTAATTTAAGTTCCGTCAAACATTTTAGTCCCTTCCGTTAGTTTATGTCAAAAAACGCTAGTTCGTGTGAGGTGACATGTCAAGTAAGCCAATTTAGAATTCCACATCAGCGTATATACGTTACGTTACATAGGGTTCCATATTTCATTCTTGCAGCTTCATTCTTCTTCCACTATTTTTCAGTCGTGTTCCATATTTCCAACCTCTTTCATCTTCATCTTCAAATCAGGGTTAAATTCCTTTTTTTCATCTTCCTTCTACCAACTTCCATTTTCTTTTGCAATTTGGAAATTAGGGTTCGAGCAATGTCAAAGAGTGCAAGCAATGCCTCAACTTCAAACAACCATAGTTATAGTACATCTGGATCTTTGATTAGTAGAAACAATCGAGTGTTTTTGCCAAGATGAAAGTATTCTTAGAACAATAAATGATGTGAATAGTGTCAACAAGGGAAAAAAATTCTAGGGTTGTAGAAATTACAGAAACCACATTGAAAATGGTTGTAATTTAATCAAGTGGTTGGGTGATGAATTTGTTGATAAAAGGAATTTGAAGCTTGAAAGACAAAAAAAGAAAATTAACAAATTGAAAAATGAAGTTATCTACACTCGAGGGTGGCTCAAAATGTCCATTGTTGTTGGGATTGTAAGCTTAGGGTTGAACCTTGTGTTTGTAACAATGTATCTCAATTAGTTTTAGGGTAGTTCAAAGTTATGTTGTTATGTTGGTAGTTCTAGGGCTGAACCTTGTGTTTGTAACAAATTGATGAGTTTGTTTAATGAATAATGTATTGTTATGTTGTTTCAATGAATAATGTATGTGTTATGTTTTCACATTTTCATTGAATAATGTCTCAATATCCAACCTGTAAAATATGTAGCCCAATGACCAATATTTGTGGAAACAAACTATAATATAACTTGTTCAAACATTCATTAATAGATTCAATAACAAATTCAAAGTTTGATACATAATAGGTTCAATAACAGATTCAAAATTTGATACGTAACAAGTTCAATAACCATTCCAACATTCATTAACAAATTCAAAGTTTGATACATAACATGTTCAATAACAAAAGACCATTATAAGGCATTACATAACAGGTTCAAAATCAAAAGGTCATTATAAGGCATTACATAACAGGTTCCATTCTAAAATATGCATTAACAAAAACAAAAGAGTCAGGTCATTAAATGGCATTACAAAATCTTAATAGACGTAATAATATTGATAATGGTCTTGAAACAGACTTGCCACCCTTATGAAGTTTTTTCTTAGTTTTGGGTGGTGGTTGACTTGTAACAACAGGTGGTGATGGTTGACTTGTAACAGCTTGTGGTGGTGATTGACTTGTAACAACAGGTGGTGGTGGTTGACTTCTAACAACTTGTGATGGTGGGTGACTTGTTGAAACAGGTGGTAGTGGTGGTTGACTTGTAACACCTTATGATGATTGTTGACTTGTTGTATCTTGTACCTGACTCGAATTAGCTTGTGATGGTGGCTGACTTGTTGGTTCTTGTGGTTGTGGTAGTTTACAAGTGACCTTGTTGTGACTTGTAACAACAGGTGGTGGTGGTTGACTTGTAACAGCTTGTGGTGGCTGACTTGTAACAACAGGTGGTGATGGTTGAATTGTAACAACAGGTGGTGGTGGTTGACTTGTAACAACTTGTGATGGTGGGTGACTTGTTGAAACAGGTGGTGGTGGTGGTTGACTTGTAACACCTTGTGATGATTGTTGACTTGTTGTATCTTGTACCTGACTCGAATTAGCTTGTGGTGGTGGCTGACTTGTTGGTTCTTGTGGTTGTGGTAGTTTACAAGTGACCTTGTTGTGACCATCCTTGTGGAAACGACTACACTTTATACCATGTCTTGCCCTCTTCATGTGTGTTTCATCCTTCACCATCTCTCCAGCTTCCCTATTCCTTTTTTTCTTTAGCCTTTCAGGCTACCTCTTTATTGGTGGTGGCTGAAGATCAACAACACTAGTCTTTGCCCATATGGCTTCCCCATTAAGTGGATATATCACACATGCATAGCAAGCAACATATTGTTCCTTCTTGTAACATTCAGGTACAAAGTCATCAATCTCCAAATGTTGATCTTTCATGCAAGACATTGCATGACAGCAAGGAAGTCCAGTCAGCATCCATAGTTTACATGAGCATTCTTTCTTGTAAAGGTTGACATCATATTTTTCTCCGTTGAGTGAAGTATACCTCACCTCATAGTCATATTCACCTGCACGCATGTAAACAAGTAACCATTAACAATGATAGTCTATGTAAACAATTAGCCATTTGAAAGTAATGTTCAACAAATCAACCATGTTACCTCACAATCCAATGATTGGTTTTCTGTGACTCCTTTTCCATCCTCTTCTTGATGTTAGGTAGTATGATGCCATCGTATTTGGTAATCTTTTGCCTATTTGATTCCCATCTCTTCATTATGTATACTCTAATTTCTTCCAGCATTGTCATAATGGACTTGGATCTAGCAGCTACAAATATAGAATTAAAGGTCTCTGACATATTGTTAACCCAAGTGTCACAACCTGAACTTGGCTGGAACCTTGATTTGCTCCGGAATCTTGGTGGAATTTTGATGAGGTGTTTGAATGCCTCTTCATTAACTCCTTTGATTTCAAGCATTATTTTCTCCCAAGTATTAACATAACTTGCACATGCAGCTCTCCACATCAATTCCTTTAAATTCAAACCAAAGAACTTTTTCCTGAAGTTACTTTACAAATTTCTGCAATATAAAGTAAGTGTAAACCAACTAGGTCAATCAAGTATGTCATATTCAACATGTAAGTAAACATAATACCTAACACAGAATCTCTAGTCAACATTACCAAGTAATTCATCAAGAGTTGGCAGTAAACCCTACATCCATAAATAAGTAAGAATGATGGTGAAAATGAAACAATTGGCTAACAGTTACATTTCAAGGTGAAAGTTTAAAACCTTTTGTTGATCACTAATAAAACCCAATATGCTCACATGTGATAGTGAGAGTATGGACTCCTCAATAACATCAGGTTCAGATATAGAATGTGTAACATACAAGTGACATTCCCCGGTTAACACTGCAATTGTTCTCATCCTACCAGTCCCTTATTATTTTCTAATTAAACTATCTATATCTATAGTAGGGTAACTCTCTTAACTGAACCACACAATTATGTTCGATTTATATTTTATAAACGGAAGCAAACGAAAATAAATAGTATTATATTAAAATATCTTACGTCAAATAAAATTACGTATCTTTCTAAATTTTTTGAAAAACTCAATAAATACTATGCATATATTTTATTCTATTCGATATTTATTTTAAAAATTAAATTATTATATATTTATTTTTAATTTATTGACTTTGATAAAGATAAATTTAAAAAGTTTTTTTTTTATAATTTATATTACTTTTTGTTATTAAAACATTTATATCCTCGATCCTTGCAAATGACTTTAGACCATCTCCAACGGTGGTTCTTCAAATTGGTTTGCCAACTTGGCATTGAAATTGTCAACAAAAAGTTGTTTCAGCTGGTGAACGTTCCTTGCATAAGCAATGGTTCTTCATTTTTTTTTATTATTAAAATAATTATTTAACTTGTTGGTTTTATTTTTTTTTAATTTTTTTTATTTATTATAAATATAAGTTTGTTGCAAAAATTTATAACAATCCTATTTTCTTTCACTTTTATTTACTATTTAATTTTAAATTTCTCTCTCACAATTTCATCATTTTATTCATAAATTATTATTTTTAATTTTATGTTTAGTTTATATTTATAGTAATTAAAATTTAAATATTTAAATTATAATTTTAAATAAAATAAATTTAATATAAATAATATATTTAAGTAAAATAGTGAGACCCAATATGAGTTCTTTGAAGTTGCACCATTGAAGTGAAAATTGAATAAGTTGTTTTAGAAGAGTGGGTTCCACAAAGAACCTAAACATAGGTTGCACCATTGGGTCCCATAAATACGTACGTAAAAAGAAAAATTATTCTCTTATATATTTGTCACCAAAATCAAAATAAAAAATATTGTTCTTCAAACCAATTTGATTGAAGTCGAGGGACTATAAAATTAAAGGACCAAAAAGTAATTTGAAACTAAAATAGTTTTAGATTTAAAAAAGATTATTTATATATAAAAATAATAAAATTAAAATATAAAAAAAAAACTCGTCCTCTTTCACTTTTGTCTTTCTCTTTAGTCTTCACTCTTGTTCTTCTTCCTCTTCATTTTCACCGCAACTTTCTCCCCATTATATCATTCCTACCATGCAGAGATTATCACTTCTCTTCCACAAACACACTCTTTTCAACCTTCCATTCACAAAATCATTTCAAATCAGCCATCAAAATACCATATTACACCGCCTTTTCTTCTCCACTGCTACCTCTCAAATAATTTCCTCTCAACCCTCTTCACACTCGCCACCAACACCAAACCCTAACCCCCGAAAATTCAAAACCAGCAACACTATTATAAAAAGTGACCAATTCGGTCTCGTTCACCTTGAATCTATTACAAACAATTTCACCGATCAAAACAATGACGAGTTTGCTTCCGATGTAGAAAAGGTTTACAGAATATTGAGAAAATACCATTCTAGGGTTCCCAAGTTGGAGCTTGCGTTGAAAGAATCTGGAGTTGTTGTTAGGTCTGGATTAACAGAACGTGTACTGAATCGTTGTGGTGATGCTGGGAATTTAGCTTATAGGTTTTTTTCTTGGGCTTCTAAGCAACAAAGTTATCGACATAGTCAAGATGTGTATAAAGCTATGATTAAGGTTTTGAGTAAAATGAGACAGTTTGGTGCTGTTTGGGGGTTGATTGAGGAAATGAGAGTGGAGAATCCTGACTTGATTTCGCCGCAAGTGTTTGTTATTTTGATGAGGAGGTTTGCTTCTGCTAGGATGGTTCATAAGGCTATTCAGGTGTTAGATGAAATGCCTAAGTATGGTTTTGAGCCAGATGAGTATGTTTTTGGGTGTCTTTTGGATGCATTGTGTAAGAATGGTAGTGTTAAGGAGGCTGCTTCTCTTTTTGAGGATATGAGATATCGGTTTCCGCCGAGTGTTAAGCATTTTACTTCGTTGTTGTATGGTTGGTGTAAGGAAGGGAAGCTTGTGGAGGCGAAGCATGTGTTGGTGCAGATGAAGGATGCGGGTATTGAGCCGGACATTGTGGTGTTTAACAATTTGCTTGGTGGGTATGCTCAAGCTGGGAAAATGGCGGATGCTTATGATCTTTTGAAAGAGATGAGAAGAAGGGGATGTGAGCCGAACGCATCGTCGTATACTGTTTTGATCCAGTCGTTGTGTAAACATGAGAAATTGGAGGAGGCTATGCGAATGTTTGTTGAAATGCAGAGAAATGGTTGTCAGATGGATGTCATAACGTATACGACATTGATAAGCGGGTTTTGCAAGTGGGGGAAAATCAAAAGGGGCTATGAGCTTTTGGATCAGATGATACAAGAAGGACATTCCCCGAATCAGCTGACTTATCTGCATATCATGGTGGCTCATGAAAAGAAGGAAGAATTGGAAGAGTGTGTGGAACTTGTGAATGAGATGCAGAAGATTGGCTGTGTTCCTGATCTTAACATCTATAATACAGTCATTAGGTTGGCTTGCAAGTTGGGAGAGGTCAAGCAAGGTGTTCAGCTTTGGAATGAAATGGAAGCGAGTGGACTCAGTCCGGGTATCGACACCTTTGTCATCATGATTAATGGGTTTCTTGAGCAGGATTATCTAGTTGAAGCTTGTGAGTATTTCAAAGAAATGGTTGGAAGAGGGCTTTTTGCCACTCCTCAATATGGTACTTTGAAGGAGTTGATGAATTCTCTTTTAAGAGCTGGGAAGCTTGAAATGGCTAAAGATACTTGGAATTGTATCACTAGTTCTAAAGTTTGTGAGATGAATGTGAGTGCATGGACAATCTGGATTCATGCACTGTTTTCAAAAGGACATGTGAAGGAGGCTTGTTCGTTTTGTATAGACATGATGGATAACGATTTAATGCCTCAGCCAGATACTTTTGCAAAGCTTATGGGTGGTTTGAAGAAATTGTATAACAGAGAATTCGCTGTAGAAATCACTGAGAAGGTAAGGAAAATGGCCGCGGATAGACATATCACTTTCAAGATGTATAAACGGAGAGGAGAGAGGGATTTGAAAGAAAAAGTAAAGGAGAAAAAAGACGGAAGGAAGAGGAGGGCTAGACAACGCCGTTGGGGTGGAGGCCAACAAAAAGCATTATAGTTTACAGGATTCAAGTTGAAGTTTTACATACAACACAGGTTTTCCCTGCGAACCTGATTTCTTCTTCAAAGTTGGTTAAGTAATTCAATTGAATGGAAATTAAGTGGTGTTATTGGAAGAAGAGATGGCACTAGAGCAGCTGCTTCTTTCTTTAAGGTATCAACTAATTAACTGGTCAAAATAGTTCAGGCCTTTGTAGTTTCTAATCATTACTACTTTGTTCATTTTTAGTAGTTGCTAAGTTGAATCAAAGTTCGAAACCAAGCAACAAGTTCAGGCCTAAATTGGAGCTGACGAAGAAGTTATCGTATCAACTCTGCTCTGTTTCATACCACGAAGAATTCCAACGACGAAACCAAGCAACAAGTTCGTACCAGATCCACGGCTAGTTGCACGACAATTTGATGCCAAATTTTTTGCAGCAATTAAGTTGAATCATCAACCTTGGCTTGCAGTAACAGTAATAGACAGCAACAACGCAAGCCTGCAATTCTGCACATTTGAAATTCCGCAGCGACAATAATAACTCGGTTGGTTTTCTGTTTAAGTTTTATAATTTTGATGTTATCTGTTTCAAGCGTTGCTTAGTTTTCATGCTGACTCGAGTAATGT